TGCATCGTTCCAACGAGCTGTTTTGATTTGCGTATTGAACTGTATATCCTTGTACATGTCGTGTTTCTCGGCAACGCGTTTGATGTACTTCTGCGTTTCCGGTTGTGGAGAGAACGCCTCTTTCCAATGCCATTCATCGAGGAGTTCCTTGTCGAACGAGAAGCTGTACGACAGGGATTCCGAGTCGACGCGACATCCAGGATACTGATTCCAGTACCAAGTGCCACCAACGTCGGGCGCGTTGTCAAGAAGCTTCACACGCCACTGCGGAAAACGCTTTCGAATGTGATAGAGGCTGCAAATGCCGGATAGCCCGGCGCCAATGATGAGGACGTCATAGTCAGGGCCTGCTCCGGCGATTGAGGGCATGATGCTTAATAGGTGGTGTCGGTATAAGCAAGCGTCTGGCTGCAGATGCGAAGATGTTACGGCTCAAGTACTGAAAAAGCAATGCTCTGGCTACCCAGTATCACAAGTCAATGACAACAACCCCAGTTCCACAAATGGTCCGAAGTAGTCCGACAGGGAATCCATTTCCGTAGATTGCCAGCTGGACCTTCCTGTCGCGAGAGTGGGCATACACCATCTAAAAGTCGCCGACGAGTTACTTGGCATTTATGCTTCTACATTAACACCAGCTGCGACCAAGTACGCAAAGCTATAGTCCTTTCGTTAATTTATACATACATCTCTTACCTAGTGACTCTCAAATTTTTAAAGTTCTAGCTTAGAAGTTGCGTATACTGTATTAGAAGAGTTGTGTAGTGTACAGAGGTGGCTCATCGGCGGCTCTCAGACGGTGTATGCGCTGAGTGTGGGCCCCGTACTTGCTTGACGTATCAGACAAGGAATGATGCGGGGAGGTGTGGTGGAGGACGAAGGTTTTCGCCATCGCGTTAGGCTATCGGCTAGTGACGCGCGTTGTTGGGACCACCATGCAGTAGTCGCAATTTGCAGATAGATATCGAACAGTTATACTACTAACGGATTTGGAAGCTCGTGCGCACAAAGTCAAGTTTAGGCCTCGAGTTATGCAAACCCCTGTAAAAGGTTACCGGTTACAACGCCCCTGATACATCATTTTTCAAAGCAAGGATTGGGAGTTTGTACTCATACGCACATTCTGTGTGTAGAGCTAGTTGAACCTCCGACAAAGTACGCGGTGGTTGGTGCCTCTTCCGGCATGGATTCTGCAATGGCAAAGCTTCTTACGTCTTGTAAGCTTCTATCTCACTTTCCGATATGAATAAGAAGGGCTCGATGACAATACTAGAGTCTAATGAGCAGCATTTGTATACCATTTTCGATGTGCGAAACGGTAGCAAGCTCGACTCTTGAATCAGGTTGACTGTCCGATAGTGCCGTCAATGTGACCGATATTATGACAGTGTAGAATTCGACAGGTTCTGACTGGAGTAGTTCCTTTGCCGTCAGCACGAATGCCGTCTTCAACTCTTTGCGGGCGTAGCTAAAGGCTATGCAGGATGGTGGAGTATAGTAAGTTTGGTCAACACAACTTACTTCCCTATAGTCCAAGCATATACAGGGTTCTGCAGCCAGTATCTTCGGTCAATTCGGCGCCTCTGGTAACGTGCCTAATGTTTTCTGTATCGGTTCCAACATATTCGAGTTCTTTGTATCTGGCTGTCGACGAAACCTCGCCAGGGTATTCGGAGTGGGATTGGAGAAACAATAGTGTTCTTGGTGTCAACGCCCTGCTAGAAGAGACGAGGGCAATCCTGCTTCCTTGAATGTTGTCTTGCACATCTTCTGGTCATTCCGAGATGTGATTGCTTACGAGCATCTGGTCTGGAGCTAATCTGAAAACCCGAAACGAACCTAATATCAGGAGACATCTAGGATAGCTCTGCAGGGGTTTCATAAGCTTGTGGATATCAAGATGGTGGAATTTGGAAGGCGTTCTTCGACCCAATCTTTCGAAATGGCCACTGGCATAGCGTCCACAGCTGCCTGTTCCGGAAACATGGGTGCATACTTCACCGCGGCCAGTTACGCCTTGTAGAACTCATCCGCCTCTTTCTCTGTGACGTCGCTGACAAGGGACCGCTTCTCATCGATCAGCCCGTACCGACTTCCTCTAACCCTCCACCACATCTCTCTTCGGTCTCCGTTCAGTGTGTTATCCAAGAGCTCATTTTTGAACGCACGCACGAAGTCGTTGTACATCTCCGGTTCCTCAAGCTCAGTGAGCTCATCCCTCATCACCCTCACAGCTTCCAATGCCCTTCCATAACCACTTTCACCCACACTGTTCTGCACTAGACCGCGAATCTCCTTGGCCATGGCATTAGCGGCGGACTGTATAGCCGCCAGATCGTCGGTGACGGCAAGTGCTTGTTTGAAACTCGGGACAAGATTCGCAGGATCGATATTGACTTGTGTTGGATTTCCTAACAGCGCATCAACATCAAGCCCCGAGATAGGTTTTTCACGCTCAGAGCGATGACGCTTGCCACGGCCTTTGACTTTGGGTGGGACCTTCTTGACGTCTGCGGAGACTTTCAGGGATTCAAGAGCCTTGCCGGAGTGCTCAAGAAGGTCCGCAGGTGGAGCGGAATATTTCGTAAGAATGGAGGGCGGGTCGGGGATGGTGAGCGTAGGATCAGGGTGAGTTGAGCGCCATTTCACGACATGGTTGATGCGGTGAACGAGGGGTGCGTATGTGTCTTCTGGCTTCGCGTATTCGTCTGGGTTGCCGTCCTCGTCCTCTGCAAATGTGGACAGGTCCATGGCATCAACATAGGCGTCCATTGCATCTGTTAGATCCTTGTTGGGAAGATCTTTGTGCTCTGTGATGACCTTCCCGCTTACAGTAAGCTTTCGGTCTAGAGGCGGGAATTTGTATCGTCGCATGTCTTCCTCGAAAGGTAATTCCACATCAATTAGGCACTCAAAGTCCGGCTCGATGCGTGGCGACAGAAGAACCATGACTGGAGGTTTGTTTTGCTTGGTGACCAGGCGTGCAACGGCGTACAGGCCACCCTCGTGCAGAGCATGTATGAACGACGATAGCGCGAGCTGAGCTTGCTGGTTCGTCCTCTGAGGTACGATGTAGTTCGTACGGCTCATGGGAAGGTAGCGTTCGAATTCCTCTTCCCTAGCAAAGCCAACAAGCTGCAGTGATGGATCTGTTTCCAGCTTTACGACATTGAAGTCAGATTCAGCAATGTGGACTGCTGTTCTGCCATACTCGTAGCCCTTTTCTAGCTCTTCCATTTCGACATTCTTCTTGGTGCCTGGTTCGTCAGGATCGTCGATCTGGTAGCCACGCTGATGTCGCACGCTCGCCAGATCGCTCATAGGCTGGTCTTCTCCAACTATGGTGGCCGGAAATTGATCGCTTGGGCCGGCGGCGCCCAGATCTGTTCGTACGACGAAAGAACTTGCTGTAGGTGGCTTGGCAAGCATCGTGCACGGGTATCGTTCTACGTCGATAGTGAGGGTAGCTTCAAATTGATCTGGTGGGCCTCCAAGAGTGAGCTGACCCTTGAAGCTGGGTATTGGCCGTGTCTGTTTTAGGCGCGGGACGTTGAGCTGCTCGATAGCTTCTGCTAAAGTACCGAAATTACCGTTGCAACTCTCGACGAAGCTCTTCAGCACTTCTTCGTTGTTCGCCTGCTATGTGTTAGATATCGAATACTCTAGGTATCTTGAGCTTATTACCTTCGCGTCGTTCTTGTCCTCTTCTTTGTAGCCATAGTCTGTGTCGTCGAAGTCAACGCCAAGAAGCACAATCTCGATTGGCGCATCGATATCCTTGATCTTCATCGCTATGTCATCTAGATCGCCATCATCCATCTCGCCTCTCCCGTCAGTCACTATGATGATTCGGCGATCGTATTTCAGCGGCTTGCCAGCTTTGTTTTGAGTTGCGCTATCCATCAGTTGAACGGCGACTGCTAAGGCAGAGATCACTTAAAAGGTTAGTAAAAGAGCCCAGAGGGAGTTCTGAGTTACTAACGATCTCCTTCGTCCGTCTTGTTAGGCTTCAGTTTGTCTTGCAACTTCCGTATGTCGCTCAACAGGTACCTTGACCCTCGTTAGCGTTGTCATTATCGTATACCCAGTCAACTTTACTGTTTCAGCTCAGAGAACACCGTAATGTTCTCATAGCCCTCAGCTTCTTCCATGACACCATTCAGATCTGATTCGTCCGTGCGACACCCAATCACACTCATGAGCGCTGTCTTCCTGCCCGTCGCCACCTGTGCAATTGTTAGTTCTTGTCTCTAAACCCATGCGGCCAAAATCAACCCGACGCAATCCCAATGCGCCACGCACTAAGTCACCAAAGGAACGTCTGCATACTGTAGTCGTAATCTTGTCCCAGACGTATTCAAGCGCCCAGTCGAGATCTGTGAGATCGCGTCCATGACGCTTCTCGCCCATCGACGCCCCTAGATCGAGAATGTATATTGTCGCTTCCTTGCCCGCCATGTTTGCAGCCGACTGCGGTTTCCTTGCTTTTTCTGAGCGCGTTGCGCGTGCGTAATAGTGATGCTGGTGCTAGAAAGCCCTCGCTGAACTTTGAAGTGAACAAAAGCAACAAGATGCCAGACAAAACAGAACACTTTTGAAAGGAAAGTATTGGAGCGAGCGGATGCAAAGAGCGCGTGTGTGACGCTAGACCATGGAACGTGGTGCAGCCTGTTAGGCAAACACGCGGGTACAGACTAGTCGCGCTCGCGAGTCCACGTGATGTGCTAGCCGAATCTGTATCTGACACCCTTTGGCCATGTCGGGATACCGAGATGAAGACTGCTATTCACCATCACACGCCGCAACAGGCACATTTTGTTTATTACCTTCTAGACAGTCATTTTGCTTGTGAAGATGCGAATGCTGCACTTAAGCGGCAGAATCACGTGCATTCTACCTACACCCACACAATCACCGAAAACACACCTCCCTACTACTGGTCAAGCTGACGGCAGTTGAGCATAGCATAAGATGGCCGCAAGAAACATCAAAAAACTTGAGGGCTCAGCCGGGATTTGAACCCGGGACCTGTCACATCTCCGATACTTTGTATCTGGGCTTGATACCCCTGGCAATTGTTAGGGAGCTGTGGTGAGCACGAGGCAAGAGAGACTTACGAAGCGACAATCATACGACTAGACCACTGAGCCTGATGCTGTCTGAGAGACTCGAACTCACGCACACCAAGCAACGGGAGGCCTGTACAGACGACAGGATGTTTTCATCACTTAGGCCAAAACAGCCAATCTATTTATAGAAACAGTTGCTGAAATAACAAAATATGTACTTGGTATTTTAGTGACTAGCCGACAGTCATCAAAGATGAGGTTGTTGACAGAACGTACGATGAGTCACAAGCGAGAACAGCACCCAGGTGGGGCACAAGAACACCAGCACAATATATGCACTTATGCCTTGACAAGCCTCACGGGTTGTCAAGTCACATCTTACACCGAGCTTAGGTAGCACCACAAAGCTGCCGCAATATCGCTGGGACTCTGTGAGTCTGTGACAGACCTGCACGCATTTCGTGTAAGACTGTGGCAGACTCAGTATCTTGTCCTCGAACTCTTCCATGGTACTCTCGCCGAACCGAGGGGATTCAGAACACAAAAACTCCTCTGTCTCGATTATAAGTGAGCCTTAGAAGCCTTGCAGACGCAAATACACGAGTAATAACGTAGAGATGTGGAGCAGATGTCGCGCTCCGGTAATCGAAAGCAAAGACTACAAGTTACAGAGCAGGTTGCTGATGGTGCAGAGTAAAGATCAACAGGACTTGTTGAGAGTCTATGATGGGAGGAGGCATGAGATCGTAAATGGCAGCATACTTATTGCGAACCGTTGCTAGAGTTGAGTTATATGCTTTTGGGCAACGAATACGAAGTACGACGGGTAAAGGGAGAAAAGACAGGTAACCTTTTAAGAGATCGCGTTCGGTGGCAGAGAGGTGGAAGTCGGCGTGTTGATCGAGAGTGTGCAGAATCTCACGTGATCTGGCATTGCGCTAAAGTTTTACGCGATCTTCGCCTTCGAGCCAGGAGCTATCATGGTCCTGCGAACCGCAACTCAAGCGTCATCAGATCGATCTCAATTGCCTGCGGCACCGCACTTCACAGCATGCTCTGCGCTTCATATGCTTCCTTGTGAAAGTACAGCTTTTCACATCTTGCTTAGTGTGCTATGTCTTTCTTTGGCGTGGTCTCGGGCTCTACTTCAAGATGCATCCCAAGGTGTGGCATACCGTTTTCCCGCTCGCAGTTTATATTACCAAAACAACACGCCACTTCTCTGTTTCTAGCGCGCTTCAAATCTGAGTCAGCGCGAGCACCTCCGTCGAAGCTAGCTAAACCTGTATCCAAGCCTGCGTCAACAAATAATCAACCCATTCGAAGAAGGAGCAGTCCCAAAGTAGACTCAGCAAGAAAGGCATCGCTTCTGCTCAATGCCCTGAAGAAGTCAAGCCAGCCACCTGTACCTAAGACTGTGGTAAAGCCTGCGAATGAGACAGCGTCTACAACTACGACTCAATCCGTCTCAGAAAGCCTATCCACTCCAAGGCATTTCATGAAAGACATAAAACGGTCACCAAGTAAAGGACCAGAAGATGGAGTGACGATCACAATCGATGAGAAAGAGGCGGCAATCCAGCGGCGCATTGTTCTCATGAGGAGAAAGCTTCTCGTTCCTGGAATATGGACCCTACTCGCATTGAGTTTCACTTATCTCGCACTCGCATTCCTGGACGTAAAGACTGGAATACCAAGCTCCGATGGCAGTCAGCTTCCCGAACGTGCGCAACCTCCCCAAACCTGGTACTTGACTCCGACAGTTGTCCTTGAAGGCGTCAAGGCTGGCTGGGATGAGCTCGACAATCTCACAATTGGTATTGTTGTTGCAACATTCGCCATCCACCTTCTCAAGAGGTCCCCCCTGCCCATCTGGGAAAAGCTCATTCACATCACTGGCGAGAAAAAATGGACGGCGTTCACCTACCCTCTCGTTAATGCCAGCTGGGCGCATGCTGCAACAAATATGGCCGCACTTGTGTGGTTTCTGCCGGGTGTTGTTCGGTATTTTGATGGTGATCTGTTCCACACGGCAGCCTTTCTTGTCAGTGTACCACTCATCACAAGCTACATCGCGCACTTTGCGTATCGCATTAACCTCGCCAATGGGTTGATAATGAATCTGGGTGCTAGTGGTGCTATTGCTGCTGCTTTGGGTATCTACTGTGTCGTTTATGCGAACGAGAAGATGTGGTTGCCGCAAGGTCTCATTCTCAGGCTCGATACGATGTACTGGGGCATGCTTTTTGCTGCCTCGCAAGCCTACAAAACACTTCAGACCCCTAAAGGGGGTAACAGACCCGCCTATCTGGTATTTTATGCTTAACTCATGACGAACTGATACCGTGCTGACTCTGTACAGGTCCATCTAGCCAGTCTAGGACTCGGCGCGGCATATGCGTATTACGATCTGAAACACCATCTTTGGATACCCCTCGTGTCGGAGATCAGTGCCCGAACTTAAGCCACAAAGGCCGAGATGTTACGTACGCTTTTCAGTGCAAATGTAAAATATGTATGAATAGTCGGTGTCGGCTCGTACCATTTGTGGACACAATTGCAAAGCCTTAATGGCGAAGGTTGCCCTAGCACGATCTTTCCAAATCTTCCATGTTCTGACCGTTCGTCATTCTTCGTCTGGATACTGAGCCTTATTCCGAGCTAGATGCCGGCCCTCGGCACCTTGGAACTGGGAGCTATCCAAACAGTTCCCTCTAAATCGCTAACATCATCCCCAAGGTCAGTCCAAAACGTCCCGAAAGACGTCATCAAGTACCGTGCGTATACTTAACCCTCCGCTAATTCTAGACTCGTCTCCACTAGCAATCACATCCATGGCTGCTGCAGCAAGGAGACAAGGACATTGCTCGTTTATTCCCTCGCTGCTTTTGCTGCATGTCACAGCATATTCATGTGGAGATCGGAGAACTGAGGTTTGATGTACATCGACTGTACCGCCTTGGCTCAGTGCAGGCCTCGCCATTGTTCTGGCAGAAGTGCGGACGTGTCGATATGCGTACTTGAACTGAAAGCCCAAAAGAGAGTAGTATCTGAAGATCTAGCCCATATCACCGGCCTTGGAGGCGTTCAATCAGTTCCGCTTGCTTGGCTCTGTCCATCGTGACGACCCAAGTTCTCCTCGATTTTCGAAAAAAACGACATTTGCGGCACTCTCAGGAAAGAACATCGAAGCGATAACGTCTATCTTAGCTGAGCTGTGATCCAGTCGATTCCATAAGAACCTAAAGACTGCGGATCGATAATTACCCTACTAAAGCCGAGTCATCCACCCCACATCATTCTTGTGGCATCTCAAAGTGCCTTTCCAGCTCGCTCTTAAAAGTCCGTCATCGGCACCAGACCACACTGACTGCAGGCCGCCCCAAGAGCCACTCCCGATCTCTTCCTCGGCTTGTACATCTGTTGGCCAACCGAGGCCATCGATGAGATCGAGTATGTCTATTCCAAGCTTTTCGGACAGAGTCGTAGGATAAGTGATCATATGCGTGTATTCCTCTCGTGTCCTTCGACTTGAACGCACTGTGTGCCTGCCTGGATTGGATTCTCATCGTGTTACTGGATTGTCTTTGGCGGTTGACTACTGGTGGCTGGGTTCCGCTCATATCGCCTCGATCCCGCAGCCCGTGCTGATCTAGTGTTAGGAAAGAACTTGCTTGGATGTCCTCATCGCTGAGCCCGTCCGCGACTCCCTGAAGCACGTAAGCGTTCCCCGTCCTTGTCCAAGATCCGGCTATGCAGCTAGCACCATCATATGTTGAGTCTCTTCTTGGGAAATCCAGTTGGTTGGCGCGAATGCAAATTACGATTTCAGAACCATGGTGTTCGAGATGATACCCAATATTCTTGGCCAGCTGGTGTTGTCGCCAAAGACTCTCGAGAATGTTGTCTCGTCCTCGGTCTAGACAGCCCGCTGAAGCCGATGCTGATTGATGCGCTGTTGAACACAAGCTTATTGCTCGATCGAGACAACTTGCGATCTCAAAATTTACAAGACCTGCTTCGTATAGCTCGATAAGGATCAGTTCGTCCCTTGGTGTCCATAGTTCTGAAGGCATGCTTGCAGAAGTCATGGAAATAGAAAGAAAGATGGACACTCATAGAACCACCTACGTAGGATGTAATCACAGTTGTTACGGACCCTTCTGTTGGCCTCATCCAAGCCGAAGACATTCAGACTATGGGAAATCAGCTGCTCAGCAAACAGTCAAGATTTCCCCCGGTAAAATCAGACACTTGCAAGCTAGCTGCGCCAGTCGTGTCGTGACATCAAGTGCTGTAGAGTGGATATCGATCATTAAGGTTATGGGAAGGGAGAGAGCAGCTGACCTAGCGATTGTTGTGACCAAAACCGGCCCCCGCACGACCCCCGACCCTTCTCGTCGCGTCACGTCGCGTCATCACACCAGGAAACACCAACAACACACCCCGCCTCCAGAACGCATACATCTCCTCTCTTGAACAAAACGTCCTGCTCTCAAGGCCATTGATTTGTTTAAGTTTGAAGTTGAATTGCGATTCCTTGCAAGATGTCTGGCGAATTACTGGGCACTGACACGCCCGAGTCGAAGGAGTATAGAGCTATGGACGATGATGACTTAGAGGCTGAGATTGAAGATATGGATGTGACGGATAGCTGTGATGCTGTGCGGTATGTGTATTTTTTCTTCAAGACCATCTCGTTACGAAGCTTTGTATGGCTCCTATTTCACGTGTGCATGATACACCTTACGAAGTTTTACATTTAAAGGTACAATTGTTTATGTTCAGCTTCCCATCCACCACTCCGTTTATTTTGAGCCAGTCTGGGCTTATCAAGCGACTCGAATTGATGTCATCCCAGCCGTAAGATCCGAAATTTCATCGACTGCGGCGACATGAAAGTAGGAGAATTTCAAAAAGCGATCGGTGCCAGCCCGACCACGTATTCGCGTTTCATGAGCCAAAATGGACGTTACAAGGGCTCTGCATCCTCGGTATATCGCAATGCATGGATGTTCTTCAAAAAACGCGAGCTGCGCGGCATTAAACCATCTAAAAATAACACAAAACCAAAAGCAAGC